AGCTCACCAATGTGTCTACACCAGTGGTTCACATAGTGGGTGCTGCTCGAGGGATGGTTCCCCCCACGGGTCCTTTGATGTGTTTTTTAATAACAATGCACCACATTTTAAATGTCAGACACATTAACTTCATTTATTGGTATGATTTCAACGTATGAAAACAAGAAAAACTAATTTATATATAAAAAGCACTGTAGTAAACACTAGGCTATTAATATCTAGTTATGCCACAGCAATCCATGACGACTCACGGCAAGAACGCATAGACAACTTGTCGCAGTAGCACAGCACGCTTTCCAGCGTGGGAGTTTTTCAGGAGCTCAGCAGTCCAAAAAAAAATGAGGTCCAGAGCAAGCAATAAAGATCAAGCTTCTGCGCGGTGAACAGAGCTCAAAGAAATGCTGACACATCTCAGACCTCAACATAGTCTGAGTCCACTGAATCTGAGCCCAGCAACAACACTGAAATCAGTGTGAACGAGGCTTAATGGACAGGTTCTGGCTGCTTGCGGAAGATAGATGTGTATCATTGTACGATAGCACTGTATTGCACATTTCCAACATCATGTGTGATTTGGTTATTTCATCCCTGGTGTACATGAAACACAAAACAAACCATTTGAAGTTAAGTATTTAATTGATAAAATATAATATAATACAATATGATACAATATGATAAAATATGATATAATATAATTTCTGTGTACATATTTGCATGTAATATTGTGGCTCAGGGTGCCAAAAACATGTAATTTAAAGGGGTACCGTCTGAAAAGGTTTGGGACACTGGTCTACATTAAAGTCAGGATTTAACTTTTTTTGAGAAGATTACATCAGGTAGAACATGTGTACCATGTGGTACTTCCAGGAACAGACTGGTATTCTGTGATATGACGTGACGGCCACACATGAATTAAAAGGTTGGCTGTAAAACACAATGGGATAATTTTGATGGTCTTAATGTCTGGAAATGTACACAGAAACTGAAGGGAAAACTCTGAAATGAATTTTATCAACTTTCAATTTAATTTGAAAAACTCTCTCTCTCTTACATTAATCATCTCTGTTTCATGACGCCCTATAGTTGAAGCTAAAGTGTAGCTATCATCTGCCTCCTTGCTCCATCAGAGGGAAGAGCAGCTGTTCCTAATACTTTGCACAGTCAGTGTCGTTTTTTTTTCTCCTTCTAAAATCTACGACGCAAGATCATTCAGCGGTGGCTCGGTCCAAAGTCATCATTTACCTTCTACGGATCACAGAGCAGATGTTTTTAAGCAAATATTTTTCATAGTGGGAATAAAATATTCTTCACATATGAGTCCTGGAGGAAATGAGCCAAAAACTCTTATGTTCCACAGGTCACATGTTGCCCTCTGTAGTAAAATCACATGTATGGTCAGCACATACTCAACACATATGAATGCTGTAGTGTGCACGGGCTGAGTAGTGCCCTATTTTGTGCTGAGTCGTGGAGAAATACTGCAGCTAAACTTTGATTCAGACTGCTGAGAACCCCACCATTAAATAAATAAAAAGCAAGACATTGCACTTGAGTCACTGTTAGGGTGGTATTCATCATCAGTTTACAATGACGTTATACATACTAGGTGATTTATTTTATTCATCACTTTTCAACGTACATTAATTAAGTTGTCTTTTTATCTAACCTAAATTTCACCTAAATCTTTTTTTATCCCCTGTTAAGGGACCTTGTAGTCGTTAGAATAGAGACGGATCTCCCAAAAACCAAAAGCTGAAGTAGCGTGACATTGTGAAAGTGCCATGAAACCTCCTCAGGTAGGAAGTTGGTGGATGATTTGACGCTTAAGACTGCTGTCAGTTCCCATTTCATACAAAGAGTTAATGTCGGTTTCTTCTAACCATGTCCACAGTTTTTCCTTGACATAAACTGAGTGATTTTAATTAACCAAGACGTTTTTGGCAGCACTGACGAACGAAGCAGCCGGTGTGCGGAGCAGGAAATGCTCGTACAGTATGGATTGTTTTGGATGGCAATGATAAATGACCTACCTTGTCATTTGGACATGTTGTTTTTAACATTCCTGGTACTAATAGTCAACCCTGTGAGCAGTTTGCTTTACACATTCAGCTTCAGCAGCATGCATTACAACCAGTCGTTTTAGCTCATAACTTCATATCTCTTGGGATAGGTTGGACCATTGCTCTTTTGATGACTAAGGCTCATGACACACGAAGACACCAGATGTTCAGTATTTGAGTTAGCACTCTAAGGTTGCAGAAACAACCATCCTCTATACTGTCCCTCACTCTAGTACGTTACACCCTCTGCAGTTATTAAACTGTAACCTTACTGTAGACCCTAAACGGTGCCTTGAAACATGTGTTAGATTATTTAAACGGCCATCTTAGTCTTTGAAGAAGAGTCAGACAGTCCTTGAAAAACTCTGTCCATAGAAGATAAGCCTGGAACAGCTCTTGATCATTACAGGGAAAAAAATGACAGCAAGAAATTTCTGACCTACCGAATCACTTTGTCGGAACACAGATGAAGAGGCCCTGTAGCTGGCAGTTGGCAAACGGGGTGCGACGGTGACAAAGGTGGCCGTCATGCAGGTGCTGCAGTTCATGGCAGCTGCCCATCTCGTGGTGCCGCTGGGGCTGCTGCACATGCAGCGCCTGCATAGATGGTTTGCCAGCCTCCATTTGGATGCCAAGAAGAACAAACTGCAAGTGGTTACCATTCCCCCTGGGTAGAAAACGATCTACACTACTGGAGGTTCCCACAGCACCCGTTGAAGGGAATGACACAGGAACGAGTGACATGAGACGTCACAGTGCTCACAGATGCATCGCGTACGGGAAGAGCAATCGGAAGCATGTGGCCTCCGGTAGAGGGGACCTCTGTTTGAGTGGCAGAATATGTGTGGACGTGGCGTGGTCTACACCCCGTCCATTCATACTTCTACGTCATGGACATGTTGGGCTGTGCTTGCTGGAACAACGCAGGACTGGTGAAAAGGGTGGGGTGTGTGTTGGTTGCGTTGCACCTGTAATCCTCTTCCATCTGATCTGATCTGAAAGGATATGAAGGGTTCCTTGTTCCCTTTATAGCTGGTTCTATACTGCACATTGCTTATTGCTTGGTTCTGACGAGGTCAACAAAGCTCTTCTGCTCATTGATTTTCTCCACTATACCATTCTGTAGGTTCCTCACCAGCATCGCCTGTCTGTCCACGTGATTCCAGAGTTGAAGAACTCAGACAACTACTGTCGGAACCCAGGGGGAATCAGCGACAAGCCCTGGTGTTACACCTCAAATCCCAACATCCGCTGGGAGTACTGCACTGTGCCCCAGTGTGGGGAGAAAAGCATAGAAGGTACTGTCTTTGTCCGTCCTCTGTTCTGTTCCAATTCTTGGCTTGGTCACCAGAAAACTCACCCATCAAAGAGAATGTATAGGATTCCATTTCACCAGTTAGCAGCTAACATGCTGCTAATCTGTTTTTTTAGTGATGAAGCCAGAGTCGCCAGGCCCTCGTCAGACCACTCGTCTTCCTCCCACAGCATCGTCTCCGGCTTACTCTATGTCCGTCATCGTCATCATCTTGATTGCGTTTGCAGCTGCAGTCTTCCTTATCGTCTGCATCCTCGCCTGCCACAGACGGAGGAAGCAGTGGAGAAACCGGAAGAGGTGAGATACAGACGAGATGCGCGGTTCTTTATTTATCCTTGTGTCCAACCTTTCTATCCCTCACTCCCTCTTTCCCTCCGCAGAGCGATGGAGACCCCAACTCTGAGCGCTCTTCCATCGGAGCTCCTGTTGGATCGACTCCACCCCAACCCCATGTACCAGAGGGTTCCCCTGCTGCTGAACTCAAAGCTGCTGGCCCTCGAGTATCCCCGGAATAATATCCAATATGTTAGGGATATTGGAGAAGGAGCCTTTGGACGGGTTTTCCAAGCAAGGTGAGAAGGGGAGGAAAGGGGAAGTAGATGTACACAATAGCTATCTGTCCAAAAGGGCAATAAAAGAAGGAAAGAAGGAATGGAGTTAGAAATTGATAAGGAGAGAGAGGGAGAGGTTGAAGAGCCTTCCACCTAAAATGTGAGAGACTGTACAAAGAGGGACTATTTCTGGCAATATTACATTACTTAGACTAGTATTTAACATTGCCGTGTCAATATCATAATTGCCGTCAGGGGCTAACAGGAATGAGGATATTACTCAGGCAGAGAAAGAGAACAGGATTTGGAGAGAGAGAGGGGGAGTGTGTGGCCTAACAAGGCCACTGGTCATTCTGAGAGCTGCTGCGTCATTCACAAACTCACAAGGGGAGCTGTTACAGGTGTCCCTTTCAGTCCACACCGTTCACAGCAAGACACGGAAGTCTTAAACTGATCCCTATGATCCGACCAAATTCCACCTGGGTCATACAGTAGTTGCATTTCTGAAATGTCATAAATCTATCAGGCTTGAGGTTGAACCACTGTTAAACAGCATTGACACTTCCATGACATCCATGAAAGGTTATTTTTTTATTCTTCGCGCATACTTTATGCTATAGACTGCATTTGAGAACTATGAGCTTCTCTCCATGATGTTGCACAATGCCATTAGGTGGAGAACGACAGATATATCGCGGTAGTACAGTTAGCACAGTAGTCTAGCAGTTGATGGCATTTTCACAGTAGCACCTGCATGTAGCTATGCAGATCTGGGAGACGTCCTTCAGGCTATCTGGTAATCTCTTAATAAAACTGGAATGGTGCCGTATATAGACACCCCTGAGAACTTAACACACTCTCTCATACACACATATTTGGATACATGTGAGGGCATTGGTGCAATGTATTCCCGACTGAACACCTGTGACTTTAATTTCTACTGCTAGATACCCAATCTTAACCTACAAACCTAGCACTAATTCTAAAACTTCCAAAGTCTTGGCCCTTTAACACCTCCTGTAGGAAGTGTTGACTGATCAAAACGTCCTCACATTTCACCCACATCCTCACCCTGAGGTTCTCAAACTCAAACTTTGTCTATAAAGACAAGAAGACAAAACCACAAAAACACACAAACACACTCGCATGCATGACCAGAAACGTGTAACAAATGTGCACATACAGGCTATATCCTGTGCGACCATGCACTCAAGAGTACAGATAAACAATCGTATAAACGCACAGGCAGCACATGCATTACGTTGTGTATGTTCATGAACACAGACACACATGCGCATGCACACACACACACACAACGTACATGCAGAGACATAAATAGACCCGAGGAGTAAATATCTTCCCAGACAGATGGGCTTCAATCTGTAGTTTCCCAATGGATGTGCGAGTGTATGTGTGACAGTGACTGAGTGTTTCCATATGTGTGTGTGTGTGTGAATGTATAAGTAACTGACATTTACAATGCACAGCTCTATTACAGTTGCTGCTTTTTAGCAGACTTAAAAGACACATGCTTACAGAAATCTGGTGAAAGCATTTGTAACAAAATCGACGACACTAGAACTCTGCACTCACATGCAGATGGCTACTGAAGAAGCAATCTCTTGCTCGCAAACAGTTCCAATCAATACATCATCTCCTATTCTGTACTAGGTGAACTAGCTTAGCGTTTGCATGCGTCCATTATCTGCGCTTGAATGTTTTTGTTTTGTTGCAGAGCACCGGGCCTGCTGCCGGTGGAGTCTTTCACGATGGTGGCTGTGAAGATGCTGAAGGAGGAAGCCTCAGCTGACATGCAGAACGACTTCCAGCGGGAGGCGGCGCTAATGGCTCAGTTTGACCACCCGAACATCGTACGACTCCTAGGTCAGTGTCTATGTACTGCATGTTTGCGTGTGGAAGTACGAAACCAGCAAAAGAAAGAGGCTGCACATCTGGATTTCTCATTGTAGAGTTGCTGGTTTGCCCGTGAGATATAGGGAAAGTGCAAATATAAAACAAAAGCCAGAGCCAAATGGTTTCAGAACCAGTTTTATACATGTCCAGTCAACATGCTCAAGTGGATTATTGCACCATTCAGTAATCAAGCCATCACCTGTGTCACCTGTATGGACTGCACACTTCATGCACACACTGACTGGGATTGGCTCCTTCCCTGCACACCATTCTCAATCAAAACAGCCCAGGAAATAGATTATGAATCAGTCGGTGAAACCCACCAGAGATACGGATAGGACTGTTTGCCAGGAAACAAGTGCTGCTTGACAAGCTAATGTGCATTTGTTGGCCTGAGTAAAACAAAAGTCCTCTGTTGAAGTTTATCTCCACTAATGCAGCCTATATCTAATCCAATACGAACTGCTCGCATCCAGATAAACTCCCCGGAAGACATTTAGAGATTTAAACAACTCCATTTGTCAGTGTCAGTGAGTAAACGGGGCCATTGGCCAATGAGTGAAGTTTGTTTACTTTGGCCCATTTTACGGCTCCAGTGGTCGAGAAATATTTCAAGTCAACACTGCCGAAAAAAACCCCCCCAGGAACGACAGTATGATGCGTTTTCTGTTTTGGAGTGACATTCATTTCGGACGACTCATTCTGAGAGTGACGCTGAAGTCTCCGGTGCACATGAAACCGGAGTTAATCGAATTATTTTGTTAACCTCTGATTACCCCCCAGGACTAATAATACAACGCAAATCGTGGGTAAAAATATAAAGGCAGAATTAGAGACGTGGAGTGTCATAATTTCGTTTCATGTGCGTTCTGCAGGACGGGGGGGGCTCTGAGTTCTGTATATTTAGCGATGGAGTGAAACATTTTGAGCATGCAGCTACTGACCTTCAGCTGAGGCTGCTGCTGTTTGTGGACACACACACACACACACACACACAGGAGAGGGAGCAGTTCGCTCTCTGGGGAACTGTCCCACTCTGTGACCCACGGGACATGAACCCACTGAGCATCACCTCCTCTCGCTAAAGCTTCCATGTGAGCATGTTGTTGTTGCAGCTCTTGTGCTCACTTGGACGTAGCAGGAAAAAAACATCCAAATACCAAGTATGTATGTGTTGATGCTTGTTTGACCTCTATAGAACTACAATATCCAAGGTTGGGAAAATTGCCGTATTCTAAAATGTTTGACTGAATCATATTCTGCATCAGTTTGTTCCGATGTGTGTGTTGAAGCTTCTTGATGTTTCCACAAAGATTGCATGTTTTTTAATGGCTGCACAGGTCCATTTCTACATCATTTTATACACCTCTCCCTAAATACCAGCCTGACATATCTGGTATTTCTGTGGAACTTTCTTTTTTGCTCTATGTGGGTTTGAACAAAGTTTGAGAGACTTTGAGATGACTGAGCTACTGGCGGGTCAGTGAGGTTTCAAATTCATGTTCCACACTGAAACAGAAGTCTGTCAAGTGCACTAAATCTATATTATGATTGTGGCCAATTGCATTTCAAGTCTCCCACCACATAAAGTGGCCTAATCATGGGCTGCGTCGGAAAGAACACAGACGGGATCTGCAAGGCCTCAAACTAAAAGTTGGCTAAGGAAAGAAAAGCTGAAACTACAGTCTGGTTCCTGGGGGGTATTTATTGTCTTGTTGGCAGTGATTTGTGATTTTCCCCACAGAGCCATAAAGCACTTATAATCTGAAGTTAGTGTCGTGAATGCAGAGTCACCACGAATGGCACATCTGCAACTTCTGCAGGGCTGCCGGGGCTCTGCACAGTCTTGACAGTGTGCGTGCTCTAATTCCTCTAAACAGTGCACATTGAAAAACAGAAAAAAAGCATTTACAGGAATGCATGAATAAACAAGCAGACGACCTCTCTTCCATAGAGGCAAAGCAAATAAGTAGTAAAGAATGAATTCGGCGAGCGCAAACCTCTGCCCGTGGTGGAATACTCTCCAATGTGCTTCCACCACCATTACTTTAAGGATCTGTCACTTCAAGTCATAGTCACGGCTAAGGAGAGTTTGTATGTCCACCATATTTGATGGAAATAAATCTGCTCATTTATCAGTCGAAGGAATGATGTATGAAAACACTTTCTCTCCCACACTAGGAATGCAAACAAGTCCGGTTGTGGAAGCTGTCAATGCCAATTGCATAATGCTGAATACGGAAACCCCCCAAAAAAG